AGCGCCGGACCCCGCCCCGCGCTGAGGGGCTCGGCCAGGCCCGACGCCCGGGGGGACGGACCCCTCGCTCTTCCACCCAGCGACAGGCGGATTCCACCCCCAGGACAGCACGCACACACCCTCTTCCGCCGCTGTCCCCTCTTCCCGCGCTGGGCCTTCCCCTTTCCCGTGCCGTGACCGCCACTGGAAGAAGCCGCCATGAGGAACCGGCTGCCGCCAGCACCTCCCGGCTGGAAAGGTACCGCGCACGGGAGGGCCTTAGTCTTCAGTAGAAAGGGATTTTGTTCCTTCTCCCTGCAGACTGGCACCTTTCCCCCACGCCCTCCCCTGCCTGCACCTTTTTTTCTCCTTAGAAGCACACGGCCTCAGTTGTTCGCAAAAAAAAACCCCAAACTGCCGAGCACCTGTACCACTGCAGGCTCACAGGGGACAAGAGGTGGAGAGGTGAAGCACGGGTTGCTGCAATTTCAGTCCTTTTATCGGAGAGACGGTGATATTACCTTCCCTTATCTCGAACAGGGAACCCCTGTCTCCCTCAGGAGGTCAGCACAGGAAGGGGAGACAGGTCCCTGAACGAGAGAAAATAAAGCGTAATTACTATCCTTTCCCCCTCCCTCCGCAGCAGCATAAAGATTTCAGCAGAAACTAAAAACTGCCTCACTAAAGCTGCAACGGGTTAAGTAACACTCCAATAGCAGCATCTGACTTAAATTGATTAATGTTAGCAAAGACATTAAGACTAGTTCTAGTAAACTAAAGAAATATTCTGCTCCTTACTAGAGACAAATGTAACTTTTAAAGCTAATATTGTTCAGGTAATAGTGAAAATAATCAGTATTCTGTTATGAGATGCTACCATTAACCTTTATAGTAAATGCAACCTTTCAAGAGTAAGGTAATGCTGACAAAAAAAAAAAAAAAAAACAAACAAAAAAACACACCACCACCAAAAAAACACAACACACCCACCAGAAGGCAGAATTTCAGAACACAGCCTAAGGGTCACCTTTAATCAAAAGAAAACAACAAGTCACTTCACCCTTTATCTGCCTACTATAAGTCTACAGTCATCTTCTGAAAATTGCATATTCAGCCTGCAGTCAGCTTTTAATTGAAAAGAAAGCTAAGGTTGACTAAAATTTTTAAAGCCTAACATGGAAAGGTGGTATTTATGTTTTTTTAGAAATACTGTGAAGATAACATGGCTTTTTAAAATTTGCTTAACCATATAGGCTTTTATAGACTTTTGTTGAAGTGTCTTACTGTCCACAGAAACAACAGTGTTATGTTTGACCTTTTTTCATTTTATTAGCACAAAATCATGTAGCGACTGAAGAGAAAGAGAGGAACATACATGTATACTTAGAACATGGAAAACTCACAGCACAAATGGGAATGATTTCTTCCTTCCTGTGATCTTACCAATTACTTCTCCTCTCACGTAGAGTACTAAAACACCGTCATAGAGCTTGCAAGCTACAGAACCCAATCTTACAAGCCTGCAGCATTTTCTTAAAAAAACAAAAAAAACCAACCCTGCAGTTCCATTACCAAAAAGGGGCTCGGCCTAGGTTCAGAACTACAACTGCTATTAACAGAACTGAACTAGAGTACTTGAATTCTCAAGTCTCCTGCTGACCATGGTAACTTTTGGAGCAGATGCTTTATGTATTTAGTATCATACATTATCTTTAAAACAAAGGAAAAACATTCAGACAGTATATGCATACACCCTAATGTTAATGTATATTCATTTTTACACAGCTCAATGAAAATCCATTCTATAAGCCCAGAAGCAATCCCATGGTTATTTCTGACCACATAAATACATCAGTTGCAGAGATCGCTTACAGTTACAGATCTTCTTGCATAAACTTTTAGAGTGGCACTTGTATAGTCAGTTGGTCCGGTGGCTTCGCAACACCTATACATACACAGGGACAGGTAAAAAGAGGAGAGATCTTTACCGGCCAGTAGCTGAGCTTACTGCATAGCAAGTCTGACATACAGTATGACATCTGCAGTAATAATACCAATATCAATAAATTAGATTAAATCAATTCAGATATACCTCCCATAGTATGAAAGCCAGCATTCACAAAATCAGAAAAAACACTATTCTGTTCAGATAGCATGGCGACAAACAAGAAGGTGTTTGCCACAGTAAAGAATCAACGCACTTTCAATATCCAGTATTGTTAGTAGGTTGTGGCACACCGATATTTAATTCCCGTGCAAGGATAACACCCTCAGACATTTTCCTAGGAATTGCCTTGATTAGCAGTCAGAGGGTAGAGAGAGATCCACCATCAAAAGTCAGTAACTTTGTGATTTCTTTGCTTGGGAATACCTGAAAGTGGTTGTTTTATTCCAACAGATGGCAGACATTTCAGTTTAGTGAGCCATGCAGTTGTTTTGTGAATAGGATTAATCACACAGATTTATGACATCCATGTTTCTGCAAGAGAGCAGGTAGTTTATTTCTGGTTTTAATACTTCTCTTTCATCAAAGTGGGCATACCAAGAAGTGCGGTCTGAAAGCAAAGTATCACAATCCCTTAAAATGAAGCTCCAGGTCAGCTCTCCAAACAAACGTAGAATCACCTTGCATCCACTTAACAAGTACAGAATTCACGAGAATACTTTGAGCAAACTGGCGAGAGCAAGAACAACTTTATGGAATGATTTGTGAGACCAGCCTCACCAAACAAAAAGCCTGAGTTTCACAAGCCTAAATAATAACACGACCTTTTTCTTTTTTTTTTTTTTTTTATAACAAAAGGGTAAACTCAAGCAAAAGTGGTTATTATACAGATTAATTAAAAAAAAAAAAAAAAAAAAGAAGAGTTGAGCAAGTGACTATTCAGTGTTTCACACAAAGCTCAACTCAATCATTTGTAAGTTTTGACTGGGCAATCAGTCCAAGACAGACTGTTAAAACAGGACTCCAAACTGACAAACCACTGCACTTGCAATAAAGCCGGTTTCAAAACAGCATTTCTAAGTCCACTGGCCTCAAAGTATTTTTACAGTAGTTTCAGTTGTCCAACATGAGTTACAAGCTGCTGTTCTATAGTTAGCACCACTCTTCTCCTGTGAAACATACTTCAGGCTTTCAGACTACTCTTCTCTTGTTCCACAAAAGTTTGGAGTGAAGAGCTGACAAGTCTATCCAATGTCTTTAGTTTTCCTCTAGACTGCATTCCTAGGTGTGCCATTGTGAGTCACTGCTTTCATATTTGAGGTGCTTGATTGATGGTTGCAGATTCTGTGGGAGGCAACACCTACTTCAAACACTTCATGAATGGCTTTGCGGAAGCAATGAAAATTGTAGTCTATCAGACCTGTCAAGAAGGAGGGGGAAGGGAGAGGAAAAACTGCGTTCAGCTAGGCACATTTACGTGATCAACACAGCTTCAGAATAAATATAAAATATTTCATTTAACCAACAGCTATTTTGCCACTTATTTCAGCATGAATTTGGATTCAGAAGATTTGACAAAGTTTTACTGATGCCAGTATTTATTTAGACTGTCTCAGTTTTTACAAAAAAATAAAAAGCACTCATTTGGAATGCAAGGTGTATATTCATAATTAAACAGCAGGTGAGGGGACGACGTAAGACTGTACCCCCAAAAAACATGCTAGTACAGAACGATGATCATCACTTCAATGTTACCTTGTACTTTATGTCATTGATATATATCCCAACTCAGGTCAGAAAAACTTTGAGATCAAATATAGTACAGTTGTTATAATAACACATCTGCTTTTTCTCTTTTTAAAGTGCCACGGTAAGTACTGTCACCATTTAAGACAAATACTTTGAAACTAGGGCCTACGCTGTCATTTCTACCTCATAACATATGCAAGACCATTCACACCATCATCTCCTACAGGTCCAAGCAACTATAGTTGGTCAGACCTGCAATGTATTAACCACTTTGTTCTAAGTTCCTACCACATACTGTACTAGCCTACCACTGTTGATTTCTTCAGTCATACATTAAAAAAGTTACATCAGTGCAACACATGATAGAGAACATGGCTATTCACAATACAGCAGCTGTCAAGCAGAACATAATAAGCGTTACTCCATTCTACTGATTCCACTATAGCAGATGGTAGTGACACAGGCCACATTAGCTTCACAAGTCCCTTCAGCAGAAGGACCACAATTAAAGCAATGATTCACAAGAACAAAACCAAGACCTTTTATACCTATCTATGGGAAAGGACAAAATCCCCCCCCAGAAAAAAATAAACAAATTTAGTTATGTAAAAATCAAGGTGACTTGTAAAGTCATATTAATATTTTACAGTTGATAAACACCATTAGATAAAAGCCATTCAATGGGGGGGGGGGGGGAAGTCCTTACCTTTGCGCTCAAAACTCTCTTCTCTAAGAATGCAAACTAATGCCAAAAACTTTGTTACTTCCTTTAAGTACAGGACCGTTGTGTTATTGAGCTTGATAATTGCCATTGACTCTTTATCATAAGCGCTTCCAGTCCCATCTTCCTTTAACCTAAGGAAGAACGAGTTCACCCAAGACATAATCTAGTAGGCATACGTATATAACTTCACGACAAATACCTGTTAAATGCAGTTAGAAGAATATTCCCGAATGGTGAGCAAGTGAAGAACCTGCAATGCAGGTTTTAATAACATTGTAGGAAAGACCATTATCACTCTTTAAGTTTCTCAGGAAAGCTAGACCTAAACAGAGTAGAGGCCTTCACTAGATCCTGTCTATCTTAGATGAGCAGTTAAGAGCAAGCTATCAGCTTGCATTCTTTTGATTATCAAACTAAGAGCTGTGGCTGTTTAGTCAATACTGTTTTCAGCTTACAGCTGTGCATTCTTAATGGAGGTCGTATAGTACATTAGTTATAGCATAGTTTACCTTCAACCCAGAGAGTCACTGCTACTCACTGTCTCACTGAGTTTACAATGCCACAGTAAGGTATCAGGTGATTGGTTTGAAGATTCTAATACAGGACTTCGACATAGAAAGGTCGATGGAGTGACATCTCGGTGACATTACTTGTAGTAAATTAATACAAAGGCTTCCTCAGCAAGGCTGGGGTGGGCAGGGCAGGGGGGGAGCATGGTGTGTGCAACAGGGAGCAGGACACCTTTTGGTCTTAAGCTAAACCAGCCTGCATTTACAAGAAAAGGTTAGGATGCTGCTTTCTATCTGCAAGTTATTAGTGTTAGTTAAATTACTGTAGAAGCAAAAGATGTATCGCAAGCTAATTCTAAGTATTCACTCCTGAAAAAACCCAAAGGAAACAGTTACACGACCCTGGGTTGACTCATCAGGAGAGGGACCATTAAATGTTGCGGTATTTCTTGGCAACACTGTATTTTCCAGGCTACAACCACAGTGCTAAAGTAAGTTAGGCTTCTCCAGAGCCACTTCAAAAATCCGTTGCAAAGGATAATTCAGCCATAAATTGTGAGAAACAAGCACCAGATGCATCCCTCAGAGAAAGTCAGCAAGAGCTGAGCTGACCTCGCAACAGCTATTCTGTTCAGACAGCAGCAAGTCTTAAAGCCATATGACTGCAAGTTACACTTAGAAGCTATGGCATGCTATCGACCCCAGTTACTTGCAGGTATTAACATACTTGCACCCACCATGCCAAACGAGACACAGTAGTATTCATATTTTAGATGAAACACTTGACTTTTACAAATGTCAGATGGCTGTCTAAGGCCATGAGTGGAGGGAAACAGAGTACAAATGCTCAACCCAGCTGCCAAACCATTTGGCTTTATTCTAGTTGCTTACAGAATCAATGTGCTCAACAGACCAATCAATAGCATCTTGCTGGATGACAAAGCCAGCACCACTTGCACAGTTTGCAACCTATTCTACAACTTTCATGGACTTCTTTCCTAAGAGTATTCATTACTTACCCATATATACAGGAAACATCTATCACTACATCAATCATGTCACAGCACAACTCATACGACTGCATGTCCACAGGGGAACTGTCTGTTGCGATGTAGATTTTGCTGACTACATCGAAGAGAAAAGCCTTTTCAATGCCTGAATTCTTCAGAAAGAAAAAGAATTTGGATGAATTTTTAAAATAACTACATTTTTAAAATCGCAAGTACAATTCATACACTTTCACATTCTTAATAGCCGAAAATGGTTTAAATACAACCAATTTAGAGGCTTAAGACAGAATCAAGATTTAGAGCATATAGTTTATAAATACAATACCCTTGTTGCCATGGTACATATCAATATTACCTTCTAGTTGATAAAACTAAAGCTGGGAACTCGATTAGAATTCTTTTTAGTTTATTATATACCGGATCATAATTAAGGTTACATTTTACTATGCTTCCAGAACCAAAATTCAGTAGGTTTCCTCTTCTGTGGTTCTGTTAACTCCAGAAGAGCCACACATCCACCTCCACCTGATGGACCAGGCTCAGAGACAAATTACTTCATAGCAGTATGCTGACACTTAAATTTTACATTTGTAGCAGTTCAGTTTCTGTGTGAGGCAGTTGCCATGTAGTTTAACATGAGAACAAATATAGTCAGCTTCTAAAATTATGACTCCATGAAGAGTATTACATTCTGGCAGTTATGGGTATAGAAAAGCACAAAGCAAATTGTACCATCCCATTTGTAACGGAGCACTTTGGCAAACTGCAAGTGCTCATACCGAGTTCAGAAGCCTTCTGCTGTTAAGCAAGTTACGACATATACGCTATGGATTTCTGGCAAAGTTTAGTTTCTATTTATGCACCAGAAGCATTCCTTATAGCTTCTTCCTAGCTAGTCTGAATACACAAGGCAGTGTCCCGAGGACATCCAGACAATTGTTTTGGCATCACAGCCATGCTCCATACCCTTGTGGCACTGAGCAGGGCGACCCATTAATGTGCCCTTTATCCACCGGGCCAGGTTATTACAGACAGTCCTCTACCAACAGAGGAAACAAGCATTATACATGCTTGTTTAGTAGCATGGGGCAACACATCTGACCCGCACAGCTCCTCTCAATCACAACTGTTTTTTTTCCAGATTGTCCACATGCCTGCAGCAGCCTTAAACGAGACAAGCTACTTCAGCCTTGTCTCCAGGGTGATACCTTATTTGATTTAACGTCTACAGCAGCAAATTCCTATGTCACAAATTCTGTAAGAAATGCAAACACTAAAAGAATAAGGGCAAAAGTCTCCCAGACAACATGAAATATAGACAGTTTAGTTCAAGGCCAAGTTCATATTATGGAAAAAGTCTCTTGCCGGTTCAGCTACATCAGACTACTAAGTGTCTTAGCAGACTAATCAGTATATTGTGCTGGCATAAAACTTCTGTATCAAGTTATAACCAGCCAAACTACACTTTGTCAGTATTTAGAGAAACCTGCACAAAGCACACACCAGTACAATTTAGCTGTCGTAAAGAGCTTCTAAGGCAGACAACCGGGCCAGCAGAGAACACCAACATGAGCGCTCCCACATCTCCCAAGGGCAGATCTAGCCAGTGTTCCTTAGCAGAAGGACTTGCTTTACCATTCCACGTATTTCACTCAAAGTTTTGTTAGATTAACACTTACAGATATAAAGATATTTAGTAGATTTTCCAGCGTTGGCAGTTGTGGAATGAGCTTCTGTACCACTTTACTGAAGGCTTCAAATATTGAATGGTCATAGATACTGGTCAAATAAAAGCTGAGATAAGGAGAAAAGGGAAAGGAATTAAAAAGAACGCAGATTCAAAAGCATTTCAGAATTCCAGTGGAAATGTTAAAGCTATGTTTTCTAACATTAAGGCCAGACGATTTAGCTGGGATGCCTTTATCACAATTATAGCTGGCCATTGCACCAAGAACCTAACTTCTGAGTAAATATGAAACAGACTTGCCCCGTCCCCGGGAGATGGGAGAACAGAGAGAAAAATGTGAACATGCTTTCACAACACACTTAGCCTACAGAATGCTTATCACAAAGGTGTTAAACACTCAACTAGATTTCTTCAAGTCCCATTCCTGGCCTTCCACTGTATTCACACTAATGCTGAGAGATACTGGCAATACTTCAAGGCCCCATTAGAATCAAAATAGCAGTAACAAGACAGAAAAGATAACTTGTTTTAAAGGTGTCAGTAAAAGACACCTTAAAAGCAAGCCAAATATCAAGTAAGAGACTAAGTTTTTAAAACCAATCACACTGAAGTCAGTGCTGGCCAGAACTAGAAGGCAGGCAGCTTCCCCTCTCCTTCCGCTGCCCCTGCCCCTCCAGGCCACATGTACAAATTCAGCGTGAATGAAAAGTATGCAAAAGGACCGTGAATTATCAGCGAGTTTATAAATATATCTGTTGATTGGAATCTAATACAGTAGCCTGCCTTGTTCTAGTCAGCCTAACAGCGGAGGCTTGGCCATAAATTCAGCAGTGTATTTTATAACAAGAGTTTGTGCAACATTAAGAAATTAACAAGGCCTGGCTCCAGTCCATCCGCTATTACATCTAAAAGCCATTAGTCTGTATGCGTATTAGCAACAGTAGAATCACATATGCCAGAATCTTTAACTCACCTAAGGTGAAGTTTTTCAAGCCCAGCATCTGCAAGGTCATCATTAGCCCTCTGATGAATATCCCTCTGTGTTTCTATTTTATGGTCATCCGATAAACCATCAACTTTATGAATAAAAACTTCAAAGTTCATTTCTGGGTTGACCTTGTAGGCTTTTGAAACTGTAATGTGGAGTCTTGTTAAAGCTTCCATGTAGTCATCCTGTAAATCAGTTTTGGCAGGAAAGAATCACAAGGCTTTACCTCTGATAATTATTTCATTCTGCATAAGGACAAAATATTTCAGTGCAAGAACTTCACTTCTGTAACTAAACAGAAGTATGGGAGAAGATAATACCTTGGAGTGTCAGAAACCCAAGTAGTTTAGATTCTGTTACATAAATAAGGTTGCATTAGCTATACAAGGCTTAGCTACACAGAACTAGGCTTCAGAACAACGGGCAGGTTACACTACAACTCTAGCAAAAGTCGGCAGCAATCTCCGAGACAGTTCTAATAACCAGGTAATCTTCCGTGGTGCAACTCCTCAGTTCATTAGAAGCTACCAGATATTCAATAGTACCAGTACGTGAAACTAAGGTCAGCAGTGTGCTGTTACTAAAGGAACTCCACAGCAGCCAAGAGCAGAAGGGATAACTCAGGCCGCCTAGCACAGCAGGGTCTCACTATTATAGTAGAAAAGGTAATTTCGAAGTACTCGCTCCTTTCCACTCTCTCCACTGGGAGCGTATGTTCCAGTCACTTCACAAAACTAAAACCCACACACCAAAAGTTAGACTGCCAACGCATCCTTTCATACATAACAGATGTTATACAAACTTCTCTAAAACCACAAATTATTAGCTTCTCAGTCATTCCTCTCACACACAAAGCAAAAAGAAAACTTCCTTGTGATTCTTAGTGATTTGCATTTACCTGGGCATCAATAACATATATTAGAGCACCTGTTCCTCTGAAGATCATCTCATAATCAAATGTTGGATCAAAAAAGTCCATCTGTCCAGGAAAATCCCATATTTGGAAATTCACAAACGAACTGTTGGAAATATCGTCTTTGTAGATCTTGTTGGTACTTTCCAAGAACAGAGTCTCATTGGGAGACATTTTGTGAAACACCACCTGTTAAAAGAACACAAATAATAGACTCAACTTTATCTAATTAGAAAAGACTGGTAAAAGTTCTGTGACTTGAATCTTACAAATACGTTTGTCCATTCTAAAGTGTACAGTTTCCTTTCGGTAAATAGACAGCTTCCCGCATCAGCTAAAGAAACACCTACCCTCAGCCGGATCCAAGCAACCAAATACAGTTAAACGTGTTCACAAGTCTAAATAACACTACTGCCTAAAGACACAGGCATCCCAGTTACACTTTCTTCCTTGCAAGTCTAACACAGTACTTTCAAATTCTGCTATATTAGCCAATTCGGATCTGGTATAAAGCCACTGTGTTAATTAAGCAACTGCAAGCTTTTAAGAACTGTTCCTTTCCAGTCTTAGAAATTCCTAAAGGAAACTTTGCTTTTAGTCTGGTGTCAAGTGTTATGACCCAATATAATCTGATCGTTCTAAACAACAATAAAAGCGTACAAAAATATCTTGGGTTTAGAGACCCGAATAGCCAGGTAGTTTGCCATCTATTAAAAACTACATTATGTTTGCCGATCCTCTCCTTTCAAGTACCCCAAAGAAACGATGAAAGCTTTTGTGCTAGTTGGTACACAGTTTAGCTGCAGCGATGAAAAACATACTCATTGCTAGTAAACAAAAAGCCCCGCTGGGATTTTAGCCCTTCCCAGAACAAACAGAACTAACATGTAATCCCACAGCAAAGCAGCCTGTAGCAAAAGCAGTCAGTTTCAACAGCAAACATTGTGCTAAAGCAACTCAACCATATATTACAGAAGCTACTACAAACATAAGGTGGTCGAACACTAGGACTTCAAAAAGAAAGATGTTTCTATATAGCACTTGGTAATCTATTTTTTTCTTCATGTTTCACAGTCACAGAAGTCATCCATTAAGGAGACTCTGTCAAAAAAACTGCAAGACAAACAACTCCACACCCAGCATAGTTAACGGATTGTTTAGTCAGGTTCAAAGCAGTACGTCAGCCTAGATTTTTAAGACCGAGGGGAAAAAAAACACAGTTCCTCAAGGCAAACGCTTGAGGAAGCCAGGATCTAAATGAGGCTTTAAGCAGCAGGACATTTGTACGGAAAAGTAAGAACAGTTCTAGGTACGTAGTTTCTGTATTGCAAGGACTAGAAATTCCTCAGGGTTTGCACCACAGTTCTAAAGCATTCCGAAATCAACGTTCCCTCTTTGGAACTCACCGTCTCCCACAGGGAGCAGGACAGAATTAGTGAATCCAGTTTAAAGCAGATGAGTCTCTAAGAAGCAATGCCATCATCCCCCTTTCCCCTTCTTCCCAAAGCAGCGCATTTCATCAGACTGGTGTTTCCCATCTGTTTTTTTACACTAACAGGGGAGCCAGGACAGTTTTAATCAAATTCCATTTCTATCGCCTAGCATCTACCCCCACTCTTACTTGCTTTACACAGCTTTGATAAAGCAAATAAAAAGACTGTGGAAGCATCTGATTGGAAGTGCACAGCTAACACTGATGCCAAGCAATTTTGACTAGGCATACGCAAGCAGAGCAGACAAAGCTAGCAAAATTCTAAGAATCTGCCGAGTTTCCTCACTATGACTTTTATCATTCCCAAGTGTTCCTTTTACACCTTCAACATCCCAACAGTCTCATCAACTTCCTGGCAGACTTCCTGCTTTTACAGTATTTTAAAAACTTTTCAGTCAGCTTGAGCACTCTTAGCACTACACTCATTCATATTTCTTTTATATCCCTCTGAATTTCCTATTCGCAGCTCACCTGTCACGCCCCCTGAGTTTTCAGCATTATTTTTTTTTTATTATTTCCTGATGTGTCAACCTTTTCTCTACAGCTGCACTTGGTTTTATTTTTTAATTGCAGCAGGTAAGCTGTACTCCTGATGCAGTATTTCTGAACTGCCTCCATGTTTCTGGACTGCCCTTTTCTTGTTTGGGTTTTTTTGTTTTGGTGTTGTTTTTTTTTTTTAAACTCTCAATTTCTGTCTCAATGTTTGAGTAGTTACCCTTCCTTGGATCCACGAGTTGAGTTTGTCCAACACGTTCATTCCCACTACCTTAAACTTGAATGGACTCTCCAGGGAAGTATGTGGTTGGTTTGGGGTTTTTTGGGTGGTTTTTTTTTTTTTTTTGGTTGGCCTGATCCATACCAACAAAAATTTCCCAGACCACCAAACAATAATCTGACACATCAAGTGACAAACATGACTTCCACAACATCCCTACTACAAGGGCTTCTGATCAAATATAACCTGCCACCACAAGGCACCTTATCGGGTACATTGTAGCAACACCGATAAACTGCAAGAATATCTAAGGCAGGAATTGCAAGTTTCTGAGAAAGTAACAAATCTAGGATAGTTTCCCTTTTTTTTGTTTTTGACAGTTTGTCTGCAAACATGAATAACTGGTTTATATCTGAGAAATCTACATCCTTTTCCTCAGAAAGTAAACAACCAGAGAGAGAACTTTTTCTTCACTACGCAAGTAACCCTTGTAAGAACACTTCACTGGGAGTTGTCCCAGGCCACCACAAAGCATGCCGCAATGAAGTCTGTACAGCCAAAGCAGGCAATTTGCCCGTTATAAACAACCAATCTCCCCACTGCAGCACAGGATCATTCTGCGCATAAGAATAGGCTCCTTTACCTATAAGTCCAAATACAGAATGGGTTTTCATACTCCATTTTTTTCCCAGTCACAATAAACCCTTTTTTCTTTTCCTTGAGATAGTATTAGATTATTTCTATTGCCCTGATGTCCAGAGAGGAATTTGTGCAGGCAGATGAAAGGCGGTCCCTGAAAAGAGAGAGAAAAGGTACAGTATTGCAAGATTGTGCCGAGAACCTAATAACTGGAAGCAAACAACTGCTTCCCAGGTAACAATGAAAAGCAAATTCCAAAGGATTCCCTAGCAGCAGTAAGATGTACAACCATTTTGTCATTTGTATGCTTTCCACAATCTTTGCTTTAATTTTTTGGATTTCTTAAGCTGTGATAATGAATGAGATGGCCTCAGAAACAGCAGATGTCTTTTTTTACTAGAGGAGAGATTTGGGGTGTGTGGGGTAATGAAGGAAAAGAGTAAGTACAGCAAAAGGAGGACAAGATATTCGCTGGTTATTAGGAGCACTACATTACATCTTGCTGTATTAGAGCTTGCTACAGAAGCATGACAGACAGCTGGTTCCGCTCCCTACTCACCCAATTCAATTCACTTATTTAACACCTTCAAAGAAAAATGGGTATAAATAAAAGGTTTACAGCAGCTCCAAACAAGCTGCTGCTTTAGGTTTTACCACACACAAAGTCCTGCCCCAATATTATATTTATGCTAATCTTATTAAGGCAGAGCAGCAAGTTTGGTGACCACAGGAAAAAAACCCAACAAAAAACAAACAACTGAACAAAAAGAAAACAAACAACTGAACAAAAAGAAAACAACTGAACAAAAAGAAAACAAACAAAAACACACACACCCCCACACACACACACTCCAAATCAGGTACTCTGTTTGAACTCTTTCCAGGTTCCTATTACATAAGGACAGTACAGTAAGTCCAGCTACACAAATCATAATTCTGCATGAAAATCTCTGAAGGATTTCACACTTGGATTTGAGAAAGTTTGAGGCCCCTAAGTCTAGAGCTTGAGCACCACCGCATTTCACTAGTAACACCTTCCCATAAAGATATAACCTAAAAACTTTGTAATAGAGACTGCAAATACAAAACTTGCACTGAAGAACAAAGATCATTCTTAGTGCTACACTTCTCTTGAGCTACGTGACAAATGAAAATAGTCGGTTTTGTCTTTTCTTTTTGTTAATTAAGAAACACTAGCGACCTCACAAAGCTACCAACAAACCGAACACACCGAAACTGTTTTATTTCCTCCTCAACCAGCAACTCTCGTTTGCTCGGTCTAGCGCACCAAAGGAAACCAGAGGCTGCCTTTCTGCTCGTACAAAAGCAGAAGTCTCTTTCAAAGGCCCAAAAAGCAGAACAGCTCAAGTCTTCTTCGACCAGGAGCGCTAGCGAAACGCCACACACCTGTACCGCTCACGGTGCTCTCACGTCCCTAAGAAACCATAATAAATTGCACACCAACGTCTTCACTTTTTATTTTTGATGCGCTACAGTGAAGAACTACTACTATGCTACACAACCTTGCACCGGATCGCGGTCCGCTCTGGGAAGGAGCTGTCTTTAAGCCCTACCTTCGCTCCAACTTCTCCACACGCGCCCGCGTTAAAAAGCAGAAACAGCCTGAACAGGAGAACGGGGGCGGGGAGCCGCCGGCGACCCCTCACCTTCTGGATGGAGGACTTGCCGCTGCGCCGCAGCCCCATCAGCAGGATCCGCGGCTTGGAGTCCGCCCCGCCCGC